ATAGCCGAAATAAATATCCCTTGCGTAGAATAAGGCAGCATAAAACGCTTCTGAGACAAATAAACTGAACGCCATAGACAATACCAATGCATATGTATTGGTCCTGGATCTGAAATTCATTTTTATCACTTCAGACCCCAAATCCAAAAAAACTCACTGCTCCTCCTTGCTGACATTTTTCCTTATCTTATTGGCTCTTCTTATTCCGATGACTAAAGCGATAACAACAAGGAAATAGCATATACTGATGAATATTGCAACGAATCCATCTACCATCAAGTAGGTTAATTCCCAGGCAGACAGAATCACTTCATCAATATTACCTCCTTTGTTTTCGCTTCATTTTTTCCATTATTTAATTTCTTATTTTCAGATCTCAACTCAGTGTACAATGCTTGTTTCCAGCAAGGATATGGTTTTCTCGTCCGAGAATGTGAAACAACTAGTGAAGCGGTGTATTCCAAACGAGGTTAGTTTTTGAAACCAATTCTCGGCTCATATGATACAGGGGTTTTAAAGCTCTAGCACTTTTGAACACAACTTGTTAATGATAAGTTCCATCCTAAACTGTACCTAATTTTCAGCTCATCCCCGTCGACTGGAAATGCGACCAATCAGATATTCGCTCAAACCTCGAATCCCTTTTGGAATGCTCCCGTGGCCAATTAGGGATGTTCGAATCCGTGACTGCTCTTTTCCAAGCACTTGCAAACTTCCTCACTGTTCCTGGATGTGTGACTATGCTTCAATTCGATGGGATATATGCGACCTTACCTTTAATTCATACCAGTATCAAAGGAGTTGAATATATCTACAAGATGGATGTCCTCGAACTCATTTCTCTTGCTGTTCCATGTCCATTCGAAGGTTGGCAAGCTGAATTGGTTCGATTGGCAGTGAAGAGTCGTCTGAAGTGTTTCGAAGCTGATTGGAAATCTCGATTCAATTCAAATTGTGAAATGATCAAAGTGGACCTTGCAAAGCTTAAAACTTTTGCTGTAAACCTGCATGAGTGCGCAAAAGCATTATTCAAAAACACCGAATTGTGTATGCCCAATCTGCCGGACTTTTCCAATGTCGAGTCTACAGATGGATCTTATGAAATGTTGAAATCTTTCGATGAGAAATACCCAATAGCGAAGAACAAGCAATTTTATACCCAAATGTTTTCGTGGGTTGTGACCGTCGGAAAACTATTCAAAAAGGTCTTGGAGGAGAGTTTTATGTCTGCTGATGATTCGAAGGCAACGGTTAGACTGTTCAAAATTGGAAAGGATTCCTATGTTATGGCACATGAGCTGCTCCAATCAATGAAAAACAAGAATATGGACGTATCGGAGTTTGAGGAGGATTTCTCAAAATGACGAATGTGGCCACATTCAATTTCCGAGAAGTCGCTCAAAAAGTGAAGATTGGAGACATGAAGAACATTGAGGTAAGACTTAAAACAACTTTATTTTCTAATTTCCTCTTTTTTTCAGTTCATTCGAATTAACACCAGAGAATCCAATATCACTCCCATCCCAATCCCAGCGCCCGATGGAACTTATTGCGTCCCTGCCACCGATGCTCTCTACGATCTAATCAGCGACATTACTATGTTCAAGAAAGTGTTTCAAAGAATCAATCGAAGCCAATTTGAGCATATTATAAACTTTTTTGAGTCTGTGGAACACATTTTCCGTCACAATGGAGGTGACTATTTTATCAGTATGGAGGATGTGGAATGGGTCAAAGCAAAGTGGGAGAAGACTTATAAAGAGAACTTGAAGTCGTCAGTAGCCGTCAAACATATTCGGAAGGTTCGAAAAGGAGGATTCACAGAAGATGATTTGGATAAAGAACTCGAGTATCTAAATCTTTACAACTGTTTGCCGGAAACGAAGCGCGAAGTTAAATGGGCGTACAAGTTAGTCACCAAAGAACGGAATTCTACTCTGAAGCTTGAAGATATGCACTCCGCCGTCTTTCAATGCCAACTGACGATTCTCCTGGAAAACCTTCCCAAGGTTTACCAGTTTTTGCACAGTCAAAAGGTGTGTATGAAGTGGGTGCCATATGTGGCATGCGTATTTTGTGAGAAGCCGAGATTGGAAACGCTGCTGAACAAGTCGTCGCGAACCGAAGAAGAGGGACAGGAGTTTATGGAATTGACTGATGTCTCCGTAGTAGCACCACCAGAAAAAACCAACGTCATCGAGGAGGATAAGGAACAAGAAGTTTCATTTGCTGTTCCGAAGAAGAAACGGTCTAGAAAGGCGAAGAAATCTGAAGAAGCCTCCAGCCCAACTCCTTTGGATTCTCCTTCCACCCCAGAACCCGAAATGCCAGAAACATCCAAGGAATCGCAATCATGTCCAAAGTGCTCTAGAGCTAGCCATTTCGCTGATGTCGCAAATGAAAAGCTGAGAGTTTCCAAAGTCGAGTGTAAGCATCTAAAGAAAGAGTTGGCAAATGCTGAGTTAGAAGTCGAAGTTCAGAAGCAGAAAGGAATGGACAAAGATGAAAGAATCAGAATTCTAGAAGAACTTTTGAAATCCAAAGATGATATAATCAAAAGACAGAACATGGATCTCCTTGCAAAGCAAGACACGATCATGAACCTTGAGATGGAGGTGGAATCTAATTACAACACCATTCAAGAGTACTCAACAACCATTATGAATCTCGGAA